TTTTTTTTTTTTTAGAGACGGGGTCTCGCTATGTTGTCCAGGCTGGAGTGCAGTGGCTATTCACAGGCGCGATCCCACTACTGATCAGCACGGGAGTTTTGACCTGCTCCGTTTCCGACCTGGGCCGGTTCACCCCTCCTTAGGCAACCTGGTGGTCCCCCGCTCCCGGGAGGTCACCATATTGATGCCGAACTTAGTGCGGACACCCGATCGGCATAGCGCACTACAGCCCAGAACTCCTGGACTCAAGCGATCCTCCCGTCTCAGCCTCCCGAGTAGCTGGGACTACAGGCGTGCGCCACCGCGCCCGGCTTTTTTTTCCTTCTTAAAGGCAGTAATTTTTCTGAAATAGTTAATGCAACTGTTGCTAACACAATATAATAGTACTCCTGGCTTCGCATACTAACCTGGACTTCTGATCAAGTGCTGATGAGCACAGTAAGGGAGGTCACCAAACACCTCAATCCACGGTCAGTCATGGCTAGTCTTGTACCCTCCATTCTCCTTAAGAACGACTATTATAAAGATCCAAAGAAATGCTTCCAAGTTTCCGTGCGCACCAAATGACTGCTCTGTTGCTGCTGCATTGCCAGCAGAGGGAGCCCTTGCTGCAAACCTAAGGCTACCCCTACAGACTTGCGGGTGGCCAACTGCCTGTGGAAGGAGGGAACAAACAGAATAGAAGGGATCAAGTTTCAGGTAGGTTCAGGTAGGTTGGTTTTACATTGTACTGGGAATCAGGAATCTTTTCCTCCTTCTCGTTACTTTTGCTTCATTTTTTTTTCATTTTTAAACTTTTTTATTTAATTATTTTATGTAAAAAAAATGAGTGTTTTGTGTTTATGTATGTTTGTGTGTCAAATGTGTGTCTGGTGCCCTCAAAGGCCAGAAGAGGGTGTGGAAAACCCTGGAACTAGAGTTACAGACAGCTGTGAGATACCATGTAGGTGCTGGGAATTTAACCTGGGCCCCCAGGAAGAGCAGCAAGGGTTCTTAACCACTGAGCCCTCTCTCCAGCCCTAGCAGCTATTTCTTGAAAGATGATGTTAGTTGCAAAGGGATAATGTTAAGTTACAGGTATTTTAAAATAGTGTGTGTAAATGTGTATGTGTGTATATAATTTATAAACATATAATAGTTTATGCATGTATATACTACACACATATAAAACTAATATAGTTTTTGAAAAGCCCTTACAAGCAACAACACAATAAGAAGCCTTATATGCTGACACAGTGATCACCTTCCCTCTCTCCCTCTCTTCCCTTCTTTTCTATGGACATGAGCTGATCAGACAACCACATAAAATACCAGAACATTCTGACAATAGCTCTACATCACTCAAAATAGAACTGTCTCTGGTGTGTGCTCTTGCAACTCCGGTTGTAGCTGTGTCCCATGTCTGCATGGGAACTTGATTTGAATTCTCCAGTGACGCGAACATTTGAGAGCATTCAGTAGTTATGGGTCACTGGTTCCCAAAGTTGTAATGTAGGTGAGATTCCCCTGGGGAAGCTGCTGAAATGAGATTTCTGGAGTCTGTTCTTAGACGCTTGGTCCTGGGTGACAAAGATCAAGGACCTGTTCTGTTGTCTTTGGTTCACTCTGATACTGTGCTGTGATATAATCCTTTTGGAGACTGTGAAGATTTGTCATTGTGATGGGTTTAATAAAGAAGCTGACTGGCCAGGAGCTAAACAGGATAAAGTTAGGCAAGAAAGGGAAACTGAGAATGATGGGAAGAAGAAGGGCAGAGTCAGGGGAGTCACCAGCAGATGCAGAGAGATGCAGGATGATCATGCCGTATTGAGAAAAGGTACCAACCCATGTGGCCAAGAATGGATAAGAAATATGGGTTAATTATGGTTGTGAGCCTAGTCTTTAACAGCTGAGCCATCTCTCCAGTCTGAAATATGGGTTAAATGTCATAGTTAGCTAGTAACAAGCCTTAGCTCTTGTCCACTCATTTATAAGTAATCTTATGTCTCTGTGTTGGTTATTTGGGAGCAAGTGGTCAGAGCAGGAAAACTCCACCTACAGTATTGAGCCCAGCTGTAGTGCAAGTTATAGTGGCTTTCTTCCCCAAAGGGCACAGACCAGAAACTTTGGTGTCAGCAACCTGATTTCTGAAGGCATATAGGAGGCATGGGGCTTGGGGGATGTGACTGTCTCTATTTATAAGTTCAAAGAGTCACCAGGAACCCTCAGGAGTCTCAAGGCATGAAGTAGAGCCTAGTAGGGGAGAAGCCAGTCAGAGAGCCTCTGCCACATAGGTTCCAAGCATAGCTCCCCCACAGAGCCTTCTGCCAAGCTGTGGGGCAGTACACCAAGTCAAAGAAATCCAACCGAGCCTTAAGAGAGCTGTCTTGTAGTTTGTACTTAATGTGACCCATTTCCACTGTCTTTGTATGTACGTGTCAGCACAACACACACACACACACACACACACACACACACACACACATGCTTAACAGACTCCTTTCTGCTATATATCTGTATTTTGAAAGCATATAATACTTTGTTTTATGAGGTCATATTTGGA